GCTGACTCACCCGTTGGCAGCGTTCCATTTAGTGTCGGTCTTCAAGGCTCAACGTCATGGTGAAAACATTTCGGCCCTTCAGTTTTCATTCCACGTAAAGTTCGTCTGAAACCGTGAGCATGAATAAACACTTTGCATCAACTGAATACGTCACACACACGCTTTTACTTTTCAAAGTGACGAGTCTGTCACAGGAAAATTATTATTCATAGATCGAATATTGCGTTATTATAAATTCTTGAGCTGCGGGTTCCTAGTGAAACACAGAGCTTCAGTTGCACGTCTCCAGTCCACTCTACTCTCTGCACTCTCTTCAACCTGGCTCCACAACTGCCAGCAACCTTTCATTTCTTCCTCACATGATCTCCTCAGTGACACCGTCACCTCAGACGCCCAACTCATCGTCTCCCCTCTGTGTTCCACCCGAGAACCTGGTCTGGCAGCCGATGTCCCCAGCCAGTCTTCTCAGTGTATGCCCAATCAAATCCAATCCAGTCCATCTCCACTCTCTTCTGCATATTTGTTGGACGATGGGTTCTCGGTTGGTTTGTTGACAGGTTAGAGTTCCCCCTTGCTTATTGTTTCGGTCATTTGATCTTCAGTGTCAGTATTGAGTGAGCGTAGACGGTAGCTGTTGATGAATGTCAGTAGTTTGTTTTGGAGATGCTACTCGTAATACGCCAAGTATTTGGACCATCACATAGAAGCAATGACTTTCTTGACTGAATTAGTGTTGAAAATCTGGATCCCCCTCTTTATGCTGAATGAAGTGAAGTGAAGCAGATCTCCAAACCGATTTCAGATTGATGCAGTCCTGTCTTGCTGTCTTTCCCATCCTAGCTTTGATACCTTCATCTGTGCCACCGCCACCTCCTGTAGTTGAGACGATGCCGCCTAGGAAGGTAGGTGAAGGAGAAAACTTTCCTCAGGCCTCTCCCGTTGATGGTGACTGGGGTTTGTTGGTGGTGGTGGCGTTGGTCGGGTATCATCATCACCTCTGTCTTCTCTACATTCACTTGAACTCACATCTTCACTGACCTGCCTCTTCTGCCAACTTGTCAGTCTCCGCCTGTAGATCCTAGAGCTTGTGCGATATTAGATATAATCGTCGGCACATCCGGTGCATGCCCATCCTCTTGCTCCTCATATTTCGCTACACGGTCCAGTTCAGTCCAGTTGACCACAAACAAGAAGATGGTTGGAGATAGTAGGCGGCAACCTTGTCTTACTCCTGTCCCCTGTCTTCACCTCAAGGGCATCACTCAGGTTTCCATTGTGAATCGCTTAGCATGTAGCGCCGTCGCACAGCATAAAGCTGCTGTTGAATGGGGTTGGAGAAGCTCAGCCACATACAAGAAATCGGATTGGCTCATATATGGCTTCACTTTCTGAGAGTTTTGCAAATACATATATGTCATGCATCGACCCAATAAAAGTTATCGCTGTTCCTGCAGTCACAGGCCGTCTTTGTCTTCTGATTTTTCCGAGGCTCAGTGAAGCGGAAGGCACTGAGGGAGGTCAGTCGTAAAGGCATTCAGTTGAGGTATCTATTGAGTCACAGTATCATTAAACCCACTCATGCAGCCACCACTCGGTCACAACATATAGTAGCAGGGATATTCCGATTAAATGGTTAAACCGGAGACCAATTTACCTGCTGGCTTGGAACACGACTTACCTGCACTAGTTGCATGTTACATGTTTCCTAGTACTCTGCATCAGGTGATCTTTCCATAAGAAAGTTAATGTACATCAACTACAACGCTTGAATGATGCTGCTTACGCCAAAGCAAAAGGTACACAAAGTCTATGCATAAATACTGCCATTTGGACTGTCAACCGTTTCAACGTCTATTTCCATCCACTACAATAAGTATTCCCAGTGGAATTAACCCATATTGCCTTTAAACGTAATATGGTGACCTGGAAATGCACTGATTTTGACACTCGCCTTGGTTATGTAACTGTGGATACTTAATTTACATTCCAGATCGCATACATGGGTCCTTTGTGGTTATCAAGGCTAGAAATTTCTAATCAGCGGACGGTTATATTGCTAAGTAAAAAACTACGCAAATGGACTAACAACGTCGGCTGGACAGGAGGAGGATTCCGCACCAGTTCTTGTAAAGGCTTAGGTCGCCATTCTTTGGAAGTTTGATATGGTCGAATATTTCACACAAGTTTATCAAGCATTTTTGTATGTTCATATCTGAGCCTAAGCTTTGTGTTCAACACTGTTAGTTTCCAGGGTTTCTTCTGTTCTCTACCCTTCCCTTTACAGGCGTGACTGTGAACTGAGGCGTTGTGACAGCTATATTCTTCTCCTCCGTTGGTACCAATCAACAGGAAACGGCGTTCTCCTCTTTTTTCAGTACTGTATCGTCACGCATAGAGCCGTGCTTCACTCAAGAGTATCCGCGGTGCTTTGTTTCTATGACGATTATAAAGCGTCCCAGGAAACCTCTGCCTAACGTCGTATTTTGCTTACCAGTATTTGTCTCACCCGACAGACTTTCGACATATCCAAACTGTTGCAGCATCGCTAGATATGAGCCATTTGGTCGGCTAAACATTCATTTATCGCAAAGCCTGTGGTCTGTGTACTCATTTATTACCTTTATTGTCCATTATTGACCTCCGCCCCTCAGTAGCAATTGATGGCTTTCGCGCGCTGCACCGCAAAGCATTCATTTTTGCCTAGAATCGATTTGTTAAGAACATCGTCTTCGCTAGCGTTCCACTCCCCTAACGAACCTCGCCTACTGCAAATATTCAGGGTGTGGGTGCCTAATTTATTTGGAATCTATGCAAAGTATGTTTTATCTAACCGAAAATGTAACCATGAATATATATTTCGTGGTAATTTGCTGTACTGCCTGCATTCTGTCGCCTGTAAAATTGACTTCGTTTCGTTTCATAAATGAGCATTATTATTATTATTATTATTATTAATAGGGCCACCAAAATAAATCAACCTTAGTGCCACAAACTCAGTAGAATAGAGTGACATCTGATACAGAGGCTGAAGCTAGCCGGCTACATAAACTCAGATACCTGTCGACTTTGGTGTAAATCAGCTTGGTCAGAGCTGAAAAAGTTTCGAAGTCTCACCAAACACATCATAATTCTTTCTGGGCAAACCAGGAAAGCTTGGGGGGGCTATGAAAGGATAAACTGTAAAAGTGGGGGCTGGGTTATATCCGCAAGTTTCCGTTTCCTTATGCAATACAGTCAGCGAAAGGCTTTTCCGAGGCCCATAAGGTATGAGATGACAAAACGTTGTCGTAGTAGGAGCCAAAGCCCAGATGCAAGACACTAAGTTTCCTCCCGCAGCAACACTAATAATTCAACAAAATTCATGGAACTAAAGCAGCTCACACAGGCCTTATTCACTCTCGAGACCGTAACTGTCAGCCTGACATCTAGAAGATCATTTAAGAAGTCCACAGGTCACTTTCACATAATATAGGCTTTTCGTCTGATAATAGCCTAGTTGTCACAAAAACTGTACGGTTCTCAGTAGATCTGTCGAAACTAGTCACGGAAGAGTTAGGTACGCCATGCAAAATGAACGGATACAAAAAAGGAAATTATTGCGCCCTGAGGCACATCGGCTTCAGTAAGCAATCAGTTATGGCAAATTCTTTCGTAAACGACATTCTTTTCGTTCACTATGAGAAGAATATCGACACTTCGTGGCCCAGGATCCAGTATGGCGAAGGTGAACTTGTTTGGCATAATTAGCCTCAGGGAGGATTTAAATGCACGCGTGCAGTCAAGTAAACCATATTGAGTGTACTGAAACTGTGGCCAAAGTCATTTGCCAGGTAACGGCCAAATTACAATACGTAGGGGTGAAGTCAAATTCTAATGCTCTGAAACTTGCACTTCCAGATTCAGATGAAGAACGTTGTGCTTGGAAGTGACGGCTAATTACTAGCTGGTCTGTAACATTTATTAATTACTTTACTCTAGTTTGAATATGGTCTTCTTTAAATCTGGTGTCTCAGAAATATACGGCAGCTGTCCCTGTAGCTGTACGTCTGTGTAGGTGGAAAACATTTGTAGGATGACGACTTTGTACGCTCGCCTATGCCTTTCTGACGGTCGCATGTGTCTGCCTGGAGTTACTGTCAATTTAATAGCTTGCCTTTACTCAGCCCTTGCCAACCGTTACTTTTTATTCACTATGGCTCATCAGTAGTATCCGTCATTCATGCGCAAAACGTGTTTGTCTACGTTGTCGATCTTCACTCCGATAAAGCTGTTCATCTACTGTTTGACTGCAATATGACTCCGTCCAGTGGCTAGAGTACCCCAAATACACTCCAAAAGCCCATCCATAGCTCCCTGCTGATCCTTCTGGCAAAATAATGGACTGCTGGACTGATAAACGGATTAAGCATGGAATGAGATTTACAAGGATACTCATAGGCTTCTATGCTCACTAAATGAACGACGATGGACCGTAGACTGAGATGCATTATCACATAATTAGTTGATTTCTCGATAAGCACGGGCGTCTTTTGATAGGCGGATAACGCGAGGATCTTATCTTTTTATCCTCTATAGTTGGTCTAAAGAAAAGCTGCAAATATTGGGTATTGCAAGTTTTGGCGGTAGCAGAAAAGTTCTAGCGTTACATTTAGCATGTCTAGTGAAGATTCGAATGTTAACTTATTAGACTTAACGGATAATGAGGTTAAAGCGTCAAACTCATCAGACAACTTAGTTGAGGTTTGTTTGCTGTTTTGCAATGTATATTTCAGAGGCCTAATGTCATTGAAAATGGCTTTATTCCCAAACAGCAAAAAGACAATCACAGCAAGTCTGTGACTGCCACCGAGAACAACTGCTGTTACAGTTAGATGTTACTCAGGTGAGTTAAATATTCTACACACTATAATTTGAGAGTCACGCCAGTCAAATGAAAGTAGTATGAGTTACTACAACTCCCTTACCCTCAATTACCACAGAGGCTCTGGGATTCACTTAGTCTAATTTAGGCCTTTGGTTTCCGGTACTCTCATCCTTGTTCAGTAGTAGCTGAGTAGATTCAACCCAAGAGGACGTTCAGCTCCACCTGCATTGGAAACAGTGGATGACGTTTTCCACACGATTTCAGACTTGTTTGACGATAAAAAGCTGTGAGCCTATAATAATCTTTTTCCAGAAGGTTTCTGTGCTTGTCCTCTTTTGGATCAGTCATTAGATGATGCGGTCACCACTTGTAGGATTCGGTTCTAGGAGTTGACTACTTTATGTGACAACCAGTGCTCTACGGAGACTACGTCCGTTCCTTGCTTTTGTATTCTCCTGTTATGTCCTCTGAGGTGCCCGGATCTAGTGGTGAAAAAAAGGAAAGGCAGATCAGGTTCAAAGTCACTTCTTAGAATCCTGTGTAGTATGAGTAGATCTCCACTTCACAGTCAGAGAAAGTCGGGTTAAGTCTTAAGATGATAGGATACCTGTAGATGTCATTTTCTTTAGTAAGGCGTTCGACAGGACACCTCATTCCAGGTTGCTGGGGAAAGTGAAGAGTTTTGGAATCACTGGCAGTCTGCTTGCATGGATGGGATACTTCGTCGCTAGTGGGAAACAGAGAGTAAGGATCAATTCTCAACTCTCCTCTCGGAAGTCGGTAGGGAGTGGAGTGCTACAAGGCACAGCCTCGAATCCCCTGCTATTTGTCCTATATGTAAATAAGCTGTCAAATATCACGAAATCCCCTATGGTTTTCTACTCTGATGTGAAAATCTGGCGGAAAATTAGGAATGACGAGGATATGCGTGCACTTCAGACAGACCTAAACAGCTTGTTTACCTGGTCAGATAAGTGACTAATGCCTTTCAACGCAGGTAAATATGTGTGGATGCACATGAGCACACACATGGCAACATCTTTAATGTTGGTGGGACTCCTCTACCGTCATATTGACCCACAATAACCTTGGAGTCACTGAGTTATGATTTGAAAAGCATGGCACACTGTTAGTTGGTAGCAGCTCGGAGTTTTAGGACACTGGGCTAGAAAACTGTACACAGCAAGTCGTTCGAAAGGTGACGCAGACCTGTAAAGAGGGCAGCCACTTGTATGGTCCCTGCGATAGCTGGCCTGACTTATAACGATCGACTTCAGGAACTGGACCTTTTCTCCTTATCCTATCGCAGACAGAGGGCAGGTCTAATCATGCCATACAGGGTTTTAAGACATGACTTTGAACCTGACCTCTCTTTTTTCCTTCCCACTAGGTCGGAACACCTCACAGGCCTTCCCTGAAGAATACAAAAGCAAAGAACGAAAATAGTCTCCGCGGAGTACTGGTTCTCGAGTCGAGTAACCAGCTCCCAGAAGAAGTGGTCCCATCATCAATTGACTCGTTCAAAAGGGGATTGGGCAGGCACAGAGATCTACTGAAAAAGGATTAATATAGGCTCACAGCCTCCTATCCTCAAACAACAAATCGGAAATCTTTTGATGTGTTATGTTTCTTACGAAGATTTTTCCGAAGCTTAGGATTATGCGTTGAGAATATTCTGTTCTGTTCTAAGACCACGTAGAGTACTGCGTTTAGACAGCCATCTCATGCATTAAATATGATGCGTACGTACTTGAGTGTGTTCAAAGGGCAGATGCTGGACTAGTGGCAGGTTTTTCAAAACTACTATTTAAGGAAAGATCAGATCGTTTAAATATGTTCTCGCTGTCTTATTGCAGGAAATGCTGTGTCTCATACTGAAATTCCGCATCCGTAAAATGACTTTGATACTAATGCCTAACTTTTGTCTTCTCATAGGATTAATTATCCCTAAAGCCATGACCTTAAAGTACAAAAACAAAGTTTGGTAGAGTTAGCTTGAAACTGCTTTTTTCCACCAAGTAGCCATTGACTGAGTCTACTTCATGATTTGGCATCAGCTCCATCAGTTAATGCTTTCAAGGAGTCACGAAACCTTCGAAAAGATATCTACTCCAATGATGAACGCAAAACAACCAGGCTACTTTATTATAAATGTATTCGTAATGAACGGTTACATAAAATGAAATTACTTAGTTTTGGTAATATTTCGAGCAGAATTACCACATGCGATCACACTAATTGTTGAAATTATTTGTTACACCAAATAATTTGTTGGATATTCACAAGGTGACTGAGTGCGTTTTGTTCGTCCGTTTCGTAGTGGTTTCTTCATAGTACTACTTGCATGTGACCGAACCACTAAGTGGATAGTTTTGTCGTTAAGGGTAGGACTGTTGAAAAGAGCAGCGAAAGGCGTGTCGAATGAAGTGCAATCTTAACTGTGAAAGCCAAGTCTTGATGGCCATCCATAAAGTCAGTGGTCATGCGTTAGTGTTTTGTAAGTTTCCTGGATGTGATTGAAATCTGTTAAGAGTTGATTACTATCAGTATCATAGATCCATTTCCTGCATATTACTTTGGATATCAGACATCTTACTTGTATGCTTACGCTTTTAATTTTTGCTTCTTTTTCGCTATGAAGTGTTACTAAATAGGCGAAAATACTATTCCACTTGGGTTGTTGGCGTCAGTCAGTAACAGGAATAAGTCCCTCCTTTGGTTTATAAAAACTGGTAAAGGTGGTGTTGGTAACTTATAAAACTTTTCGTTACATGGTTAGATCCTTCCTAACCTCATTGGTTTCATCCATCAACAGATTATTCATTATCTCACCTTCAGCTAACTACACTTATTTCTAGGCTCGCCTTGTCAAAAATTATGGTTTCCTTCCTATGAGCCTTTACTGCCGTATGCGTATTGGGGATGCCAGATTCGAAACTCAGACTGCATCAGGGGCCGGGAAACATCCTATTTGGAATGAAACCTTCCGGTGGTAAGTTTTTTCGTCATATTGCGAAAATATTCCTTTGTTAAATTTCACAAAGTTTGAATATCTTGGGTGAGAAAACTGTATCAAAATTCTTGGAAGGAAAATGTTTCTTAACCGAGTCATCAAATCCTGGAGACGTTTAGAAGAAAAAGCTGTTAAAACTATGTGAAATTGCTTTTTTAAAACCAGTAGAAACGAATCTCGAAATGATTTTGGGATAGACTTGTTATGCGTGTGCTTGCACACATCCAACAGTCGAAGAGTACGGATTGAAAGCAAGTGTAAACTAGTCATTTAAACTATCAGCAAGAGCCGTAATACTTTACTCAAGACGTTTCCTACACTAAAAGACGACTGCTGATGAAATGGACTCAAAATCAGAGTTATACATTTAAGAGTAGAGAACTGTGACACGAGATTCTTGTTGTTTTCTGGTCTCTACGCAATATAATCTTGAGTGGTTACGAAGTCTATAAATTTAATCGCAATACTACTAAATTGTGTTAAAAGGGAAGTTATCCTTTGATTTCTAAACTAATCCTCTGGTTATCCAAAACTACGTCCGGTGTATTTCCACCTTTAAAAAACTACATCTTTCTGTAATGAACTATTCTTAATTTAGAGGTGACTCTTCTAAATCTTTCTAGAGGGTAAACATTATTCAACACCACGTAAGTTTACTCTGCGTTAATAGCAAATCCCCAAAAATATCCTCAATCCAAGTTTTCCGAAATTCTTGAAGGTATGAAAACCCGATCTTGTCTGTTAGGTTACGATCAAAACCCTTCCCAGGCTACCAAAGTTTACATAGCTCACCATTCAGAACTCACAACAGCGTGAAACCACAGCCTAAGAATACTGAAAACTTAAATCTCGTTAGTCAGTATCTATGCAGTCATCCGTCAGGTAGTGTTTTCGTATCAGCACACCTATTTGTAATCAGTAGTAAGAGCCTTGACAACACCTACACTTCAAAAACCAGCGTTCAGTATAATTAAAAGAATAATGGACTAGCGACTTAATTTGTTGGAAATCCAGATTTATGAAAATAGCTTCTATAAAGTCTCAAACTACAGTATATTGCTAGTGAGTCACCGATAAGCGTGATTGTGATCCAGAACTAGACGAAGTGTAAACGTGTGGTCAATACATATTTATTACCTACTTAAAACAAGATTGGTTTCCAATACTATGAGTGAATGCCATTTACCAAATGATGGTTACTGTCAGTATTTCAAATAATTTACTGACAAAAGTAATGTATCTAAGATGTTTGAAAGATTTCCTTTTTACACATTGGAGCTACTAGCATAAGACTTCCTTGATGTAGTGTTGGTGATTGTTTCGGAGATGGATTTTTTCTCTCTGCCTTAAAATATCATTTGCTAATTACTACTGCTGAGTAGGAAATTCGTTCGCATTTCAGAACCTCTGGTAAACTTGAGGACTTCATAGAAGAGCTTCGTCTATTCCTGTAGAAAACACGGATATTGAAAAACACTTCTTGTTTACCTGTTGTTGTTGGTAAAACATTGACTATATATGCTAATTTTACTGAGACCCGGCATGTCACATTCGTTATTGTTATTAAACTGCTATCTTAAGCAAATCATCAAGGACATCCTGTCCACTAATTCATAGCACCTAACGTATAGACCCTCAATATTTTCGCTAATTTGGAGATACCGAGGACATACGCTTATTTAGACGCATGCTCTGATCACAACTACAAAAATTTCTGCACTTTTTAAAGATAGATTTATTGGATAGATAAGCACATTATGCCAGTCGTGAAGTTTAGGCGCTGCCGGAAGTATAACCATTGGAAAATGCATCTGTTCACGAAGAATTATTGTCTGATAACTGGTTTACAATTTTCAACTTATTTTCAAGTGTCAAACTCAAGTGACGACACCTTTTTATTCGTAAATCGTTTTATGCAATGCGATTTTTTTACTTCACAGTCGTTCATATCATTTCTTGCTGCTGAATAGATATCAAACGGAAACAGGAGATACAGTTACTAACTTACAATAATTTTTTTTTGTAGATAAAATATTTGACACTATCTAAATGCATACGATTGTAAGTCATCTTGTATCCATAGTGGATCAAGAGAAGTTGTAGTTACATCATTAATCAGTCACTTAAACTTCTCAATGTTTGACGTACCTACCAATCACCCTGTCAACCGTTAGAAAACACGTTCATTCATCACAAACTTCCTGCCGCTAGAAATTCTGAAGTTCCGTTGTAATTCCTAACAACTTGTGTTCAAATGTTATTCGTCCACCAGATAAATATAAAGTGAAAGTATTCTCTAAATCCGTATTTTACAGACTGAGTGGTTAGTGTGGAATCATGTGTATCTTAAAAATTCCTGCTGAATAATTATGTACTGCAAAGATTGAATTTTTTTTGACAGAAATTTTATTACTACAGTTTGTCTACTCAGCTATGAAAATTCACTCCTAAGATCTTGTCAATCAGTGCACAATCACTCATCTAATATTCACATTCCTATCCTCACAGCTTCGCTTTTGATATACAGCTTTAAAGCATATCTTAATAGCTTATATGGGAGCTAGCTGAAACCTTTGTGTGTGTATATGCGTGCGTGCGCAGCAGAGGAGCTGATATTACTGCAAAGCAGTCTATGCTGTGACACTTCCTAGGATCACTGCAAAATGGTTAACGTATAAAATTAAAATAATATCATCATTTGAAGTTGTAAACCATCATCAGCCTACGCGGGTTAGGGGAGAATCGTATTTACACTAATAGCAAACAAACGTTAGTCTGTTATTGACTAATAGGTCCATAGTATGTCATCAAAACGAAATGTTGTAGGGTGAAATAGTGGGTCGATTGTAGAGTTTGAAAGGAATTGAGTAATTAAGTGTGTGTAAGAAGAATATGCAGTATATTAACGTGATGCTGAGTAGGTTAAAAAACGGACCAATAAGAATAATCAACAACTGGAGTGAAGTAGTATGAGAATTTTAATAGAAGATTGGTGATAACATGTTAAAATGTATGACAGTAAACCGCAAAACAAAAATAAAATGCGATGATAATCAGTTAGTAAGAGTGAGATAAATATTGAAACAATGAAAAAATCTCAAGAAAGGATTGTGACCATGGGGAAATTTGAGAATAGACGTGCCTCTTCTGTACACTGAAAGAGGACTGTGGGTAAGCGACGTAACTGGATTGATCAAATGACCGAAGATGGAACTGTTACTTGAATTGCATTGTCCCCTGGACAGCCATGCGTTTAGAAAAACTGCTTTATGCGGCCTACATAACCAGCTGAACAAGAGCAGGTTAAACTAATAGACATACATGAATCTGGTCTAAAGTGGCAGTTTACCTTTCACAATACCTCGAATCAGCTGTCTAATGGAGAAGACCATTCGCAGTTCGGCGGTATAGAATGTTTTTCTGAATGCTTTGGAGAAACGATTCTTCAGTATTTCTGTTGCGTGTTGCCCCTCTGAATTCAATATTCATGAGTAAGGTCTTCTTAGGAACAGTTGAAACTTGTTCTTTTCGTTGTTTCGGCTTCATGTATTTTTCGATAAACCTTAGGGGCGAATGAATAAAATTCCTTTTGTTGCTCAGTGCTTCTCTGCATGTGCCTCCACGCGAGATGATGACGTAGTGTTCACCTATTAACTAATAATGAACTAATCTGTTCGTTTGTTATTACTCTGAATAGGATTGTACAGCTGCTGAAAATGATTCATCAAAAAGAGTTACCTGGTGTTTTTTAATGCTGATACTTTTTAGGTAAAGATAACGCATAGTGCATGTGCTACTATGATACGTTTTCAGTCATGTCATCTGTAGTTTCTCATGAAAGATGCTGGTTGTTTCACTCATCCCAACTAGGAATTTTACACTTTCGTACACATCTCAAAACAAATAAGCGAGCAATTTTATTCGCAGATAGATCCTTTTCAGACTTTATAAAAATAATTTAAATCAATCATTGAGATTTATCGGTCACTGATGAGCGTTCTAATAGTACACAGACAGTAATAATAACAGTGGTAATAATACCAATAATGACGTTAACAGTCGAAGTAAAAATGTTCACAGAAGCAGTTATATAGTATAGCTGATGGAGTAGAAATTTTGACGATCAAAGTGAAATAATACTAAATGAAATAATTTTGGATAAATAAAGTCTACACGAGTAAAGCAAGCATGTAAAAAAGATTGGACAAATTACCACGGATTTACAAACGGGTTATCCGTGTTACTTGTGTAAATACTAGTGTAAAAAATGACGAAGACAGAAGCTGTACAGTATTTATTATAACATTTTGCACAGTAGTCATGAAATATTGTATACTTTTCATTAAAATAGTCATTTGCATAATGTTTTATTTTCTCTTCTATCTCGATTCGCTCTTAATACGCTCACATTGTCTCTTGAGTTTCTCTGGGGAGAATATTTACCCATCGCTCTTAATTACCTACGACTTCTGCCCACCTCTCACTGCATACTACTCATACCCATTTTGACCAGTAGCACCCACTACTTCGTCCCCCCGTCAATATTTCGGGCTCTCAGCCATGCTGATCGTCTTGGTGCTGTCTTCTCTTGGTGTTCCTGCAAAGTTTCTTCTTTTCCCATCGTCTCCATTTTGAAGTAGGCTGGTGTTTACTCTTTTCTCTTTGTCCCCTTTTTTGATGATATAAACTGAACCGCGTCTCTCGGCAACCATGTATCATCCTTCCTACCTCGGGAGTAGTTTTCTTGTACCATATTTACCTCCTGACGTATATCATCGTTCTTTACATTTCACTTTATCTCCGACCTCAACGGTTTCCATTTACTTCTTTCTCTCTGCTCGGATCTTTCAGCACCAACTTTATGTTTCTGTTCCACATTTTTGATTGTTTTTCCACTGCTTTCTCCATCTTATCATGTTCCACGGCTGTTGTTGGAGCCAGGTCTTACTGTGTATTGGGAGCCGTGGTTTCCTGCCATA